TCAATACGGGTATAAGGTTTCCGGCTGTACAGGCATGTAAACGAAGGTGAGGGTCCCCTAATCAACTCCTACAATAGCCGGAGATTTCGAAGGTCAGATTAAAGTGCCTCACTCAGTCAGAGAAGTGTATGGTATTCCGAGGGCAAAAACCGTTTTTGAACTCTTGCGCCACCTGTCACTCTTCCGCTCGCTGTCTGTCACATACGATTGGACAATAGTGTTCGGTTCCTTTTCCACCTAAGGCTTCAAGGAGGCCCACCGAATAGCAATTTCAGCGAGCAGGAGTAGATATTCTCACGCGGAACTGCATTTGGAGCATTTCGACCCCCTTAGTGATCGTGCCTCACAAAGCTACTAGCTCATGAAGCAAGCTTTTCGTCGCTTTGCTAAAAAGAACGTCCATGACCATAGAAACCAGCAGAAAGTTGCCGTAAATTCTTGCATGTGCTCAGAGCCATTGACTACTTTACCAAATTTACCTAATCCGCCAATGAACTCATTTGTCAGAGGAATACAGTGTCTGTTTGCCAGTGATTCGCCAAAAACTTTGAACGAAAGTCTGAGAAAATTGAAGAATACCATAAGCAAGGCCGGAGAATGTTCACGGGGTGGCGGAAACACGATTTTCATTGAAAGTAAACGAAACTAAGAACAACAGTAAAACAAAAAATATGTTGCCTGCATTAATCCAGCGTACTGCGCGCACTATTTTGTCAGGCAAACCAATGATCGTTTCCCTCTACCTTTATTTTTTTACAACATGATTCCCCGGGTTGTTCCTTTGATTTTGTACCTCTATAACTTGGTTTCTGGTTTCTGACCCGAAGGTGGACTGCTCCTGACCTCGATATCGCATGTGATGTCTAAATCAACACGTGGGCTTCTCTATCTGGTAGCTACGTTGCCTTGAGCCGATGTGGACTTTGGGACCTCGTTAGGATTTGGTTATTCCAAACCGGTGTGTCGAAGCCGGCATAGTCCCATGGTTTGGGGTTTGTACACTGTTATTTTACTGCTGCATTAGTTACATCGCATTTAAGCGATGCGGCTATTCGGTTTAGCGTGCAACTCAGTGTGGCCTGAACAAATGCCTGAAAACATTATCCCATAGTAAACGATACGAAAATTCCCCCTAGGTAATCGTTTCCTTCCTGTGTACGCCTGGCTTCAAGAAAATCTTTGGAAGTCCTCAATTAAACTTTGCGCAGACGTCAAAAAGAAAAACTCGGGGATGTCGGGAATTCAGGCGACTTATTTGATGCAATATTTTCAGAGGGCGACCAGTTATATTATTAACTTGAGGAGTAACTTGTAAGTATTTTTGTCCAAAAACAAGGACTTGCTATGCGAAGATAGAGTTTTATGAAGGAATTTCAATAACCTAACGAAATTCGCAACTCTCGGAACTCTTTCTAGGGGTGGGCTGAACATACCAAAAACGATCTTGCTTGCTTTATGCTTTGGTTGCTCCAACTCACTCAAACATCCCCGCTGGAGAGGCGTTAGCTCGTGGATTATATTCATTAAATGTGATCGCTAATAAGCGCAAGTAGCAATGAATGAGGATAGCTTTTCAAAAAAGCAAAGGTTTCTTTTAGGACCAAATTTTAAGAAGTCCCAGATTAACAAATATGAGACTTGTCATCCGTCCAAGGCTAGCCTAAAATACCAGCCAGCTGTCTCAAAGTGATTTGGGCGGATGCAGCTAGCGTGCTTGGTACGATGAGGTCCGGTTTGTGCAGTGGAAACGTAGACAAAGTTTTTGAACAAGTTAGCTGTATCCTCCGGGATGATAGAACAGAGACCCGATGGTGTTGCATCAAAATTTGAGGAAACACCGCACATCTATTATAGGGCAGGACGCACCAAAATCGGGGCGGCCAGTCCTAGATCTTTGCATCGCAGACGTTTGTGTTGAGGCACGTCTCTGTGGTGGTCATCCAAAGGGGAATATTCATACCTGGTTGTGTCATATTACCGAATGCTTGTTGACAAGGCTAAAAATGGTTGAATAAAAACACTTTTCCCACCGCCCATTAGGAGAACCAGCTCCAAACGTAACTGGACTACACAACAGCCCATGTATTAACTGTTTTCGTTAAGACAGATTTAATTTGTTGTTCTTCACCTGAATTTGAAGGATGAGTTCTTTGCTCATTATCATTTCTTGGACCAGAACGTCCCACATAAGCTTTGTAAACAGCTGCACAAGACACGCCCGTACGCATCGGTGTTTACGCACATTCAATGGCTCTCCGGTTTGGCTAAACTCATCAACCCATCAAGCAGCTATCCAGACTCGGGTTCACGGTATTATGGAGGCAGTAAAAAACCGTGATTCACCTCTTCCTGTAAATTCTTTCGAAACTGACCATTTAAATGGTGTTCAAATAATTCTTTGGATTTTTCTTAGTGTGATTTGCTCCGCTTGTGTCCAACGAGAGGCCTATTTGGGTCTATTATGGTTGAACTGCGAGGCACGTTCTTTTTTGCTGGCGGAAGATGCCACACTAGTGGTGCCAGAAAATTTGGATACAACTGACATATATGGGCAAAGACTTTGTTGATATGCTATAAGATATATTCCGGGGCCGTTCTTTAATTGATGACATACCAAAAGCCATGAAGTCGGCAAGCCCTGTACGTTTCGAGGGAAATAAATAATAATAATATCACAGTATCAAAGTACTACAGTCAGAATAATAGCATGACTGATGGGGATTGCGATTAATGAAAATTTGCGGCATAAAGCCTCAAAATCCGGAGGTTCTACTTCCTGAGGATTTTAAAGGCGCCATTGGTTGCCATTTTTATGGAAAGTGCAGTGTTCTTTGTGTGCATCTGACTTGCCAGCATTTCCCAGAAAACTCCTGGTCCACCCTGGGGGCAATGTAGCAACAGGCATGTGAACCATCTGACACGACACTCCAGGAAATAACGTGACACTTTGTGGGTACAAGGTTCACACTAATGGATAGAATGACTTAAGTCAGTTTATCCAAAAGCATCTGCGCCTTTTCGTCCACTTCGAAGGTAAAAACTATGTCTGTATACTCCAGATCACCAAAATTTTTGCCAGAAGATATTTGGAGACCAGGCCCAGAAAGCATTTCTTCGTTCGTGTCATTACCTCCTCCGCTACGAAATCGAATGAGATTAGAGAGAGGGCGACCTCGCGGGCACAACTTTGTGTACGGAAGCTCTTGGAGCTCCCCAGATAGTTCCGCAGTATGTTCATCCATGCTTCACCTCCTGTCCTTGACGATGCAAAAGATTGCATGGTTGACAACCCTCACTTCAACTGCATTCCCTCTCTCCAAAAATACACTCCTTCCTCAAGATGAACCTCATAATCCGCCTTGTGCAATGAAGGAAGGGAAAATTGATTTCAATCTGAGCTTGCTCTGGTTGTGGCATACAGCCCGAGCAATCGCCCAGTAAACAGAAATATCCATTGATAAAAGAGGAGAAGATGCTACGAGACTCACCAAAAACACCTGATATGACACCGCAGCGGCAACTGGTTTTGCGAAGCTCCACGCTTTTCTCCAGGCTGCAACAGCTCGATTCTGAGGTTAACTCATCGCACCAACAGGCAACGCCACCAGATATATCTGATTTAATGTCTCTGCAAGTTCCAAGCTAGCTCAGTTGCGCACGTCCCTCATGCTCCCATATGTCCTCACCAGTTCGCATCGACCGCAAAGCTATTATCTGCACGTAAATGTCGATTCCGTTGTCGAAACCGGACAGCGTCGTCTCATTTAAGGAGCTAGAAATTGTGACAACTTTCGACTGTGTTATTACGAGCGGCATTCTAAATCACGTCAAAATGCTTTCTAGCAAACCCTAAGGACACTTTTCTATTTTGATTCCACAATGGAGATATGGTTGTCTTATTACTTCGTTAGAATGACAGCAATGAACCGCCACGAACCCTCGATAGACCCAAGAATACCCTTACTACAATGACAACCATAAACGGCTTACCTAAGATGTTCATGTGCAGGGCTGTCCACGAACCGAATTGCGGCGTCGCGATGACGGTACTGCGACTACCAATACCCAGGCTGATGACTTGCCCGTAGTTCACTATATCGCTAGTATTTCCCAGACGAGTGTTACTAAAAGACCGTTTCGATCCTTTTAATTTGTATAAGGGCTTAAAAAGCAGCGGCCACCTTATTGTGGCGTCTGCTTGTTCTGTTCACAACCCAATAATTCAGCCAACGACACTATTGGTGGCTCGGTATATTGGTGAAAATCAAGCCATGCCTTAAGCCAGATATAAGGTATGCTGACCATCATAAAGAACAGAAAACTTGCTAGCTATGACGAATTCTTTGGCTTCGGCTGGACGCTTGCCCCGACCATAGAAGAAGTTTCCATATCCAGGTCTCAAATGGCCACTCCAATTTGGGCTTGCGCGGAATTTATAGGCTAACTCGTCTAGCTCATTGTGAGATTATTTCCAAATCCAATACGTAAGAAAACACGCGAAGAAACCAGCTCTTCCACAAAATTGTCCACCTTTTTTATAGAGACAACGCTCCAATTCACCGGCGACTATTATTATACAAATTTCGCTTCCACAGTGGGCTCCTAGTTTGGTTAAACAAGTTTTTATAAAAGCTGCTGCCACGTAGGGAAATCTTGGGTGCCCGAATAATTATCATCAAATGCCGAAACTTTATGTTAAAGATTTCATTTTTCGAACCACGGCTACAGAGAAATTGAGGGTATGCGTCTAGGACGCGGCCGAGGCTACAGCCCAGCGCTAAGTCCTTGAAGAGTAGTGCTGCTCCATCTTTCGCTTGCGCCTTTTAGGTGAACGGAAGTCGTTGAACGACAAGACTAAACACGACCCAAGAATCTTGGGAAAATTTTCGATCCTGTGTATCCAACCATGTCTATGTGAAAATGGATGCAATCAATAAATCAAATATAAGGTCACCGTTGTCATAGTAAAAAGCCGCGCCTTCCAAAGGAATAATCTCCACATGGCCAGCCTGTTGAAGTGTCCACAGCGGTTTACTCATGAAGAGTGGACATTCAGCAACAATGTCAAATACAGGAGTGCTGAAAAAGAAAGGGAATTTTCACAGGGCTTGCAGAATGAATGCGACCGTTATATGGATGAAGCCGAAAAACGTACGGACCGTACGTTAAAAGATGTGGATAAAAAAATCGGTAATGCCTTGGAGCCTCAACTCAGTTCTTCCTAGATCAAAGAATAACTGACATAAAGTACTGGAAATCGGAAGTAAATAAAAAGCTAGACGATGTTACCGCAGAAACTGATGCCCTTCATTCAGCATTTATTCGGTTGAAGAAGGCATTAGATGCTACCGAAGAACCACTTCATTTAGCACAACAGTGCATCCTAACACGGTATTTCCGGTAGTCCATTAATTATCTTCTCAGAGAAGGACGCTCTGGGATCGACCTGGTCCATGACGATGCACAAAAGGAACTGTGCAAAGAAGTTGAGGTATACAAGGGCGTGCAAGCCCTTTTGCAGAAGACCTTGGAACAAACAAAGGAACAGCTCAGGTAGATATTACGTAGAGCTTTACAACTCCTAATTCCTCAAAATCCAAGTCCTTAAGATCCAAATATCAAAGTACTCGTAGACCTGAATTCATCTAAAATATGCGACAGTAGTGGGTTGCGCGTGGGTTTGTTGCTCATTTTGTGGGAAGTTCACAAGAAGCGCAACAGTGTATTATAAATACCAAAAAATCGGTGGAAAACCGATGTCAGAAGGAACCGTCGGGACGGAAAAAGTCTAAACTTAACCCATAATCTGCAGTCAATTAAAAGTCATATCGAATTAACAGCCGCACAAAATGTTACGACAAGGGTAAAGAATTCTATGCTCAAAGTGAAACAGGACTTCGGTGGAAGGTATGAGAGCAGATAGTTGCACAGTCCAAACAGGTTCTTGTTTCATACGGAGGAACTGAATATTATGGTTGCCAGACAGTGGAGTATTGGTTTTCTACACCAATGTCGTACTCTCGATAGAACTTCCGAATTACCTTTCTGGATTTGCCGGGTTTTGAGCCATAGTATGAATGATTCAAGTAAGTTTTATTCAATATTTACGGGCAAACTCTACAGCGCGGATTTGGTAAACTTTAGGTCCTTTAAGGATGGCTTTCCCCACAACCATCAGAATAATGTCTACTCCAAAATGCGGTATCAAGTATACCACACGTGCGACCATTCTTGAGCGCCTGGAGGGAGTACCTCTATGGTCATTAGTATTTCGTCCTAATTTGCACTATCTCCCCTCTGATTACCAATTTATGTACCCGCGCTGGCCGTTTCTGTTGTCATAATTATTGGGTATAATCTAGCAAATGAGTTGAAAAGTTCAGTAAATAGGTTCAACCAATTTATTGTCCGATACATTTTACAGTTTTATCCAACGTATCTCCAGGCTGGGCTATTCTTATACAGGGTGAACGCATAAAGTCGATGCACACTCAGCCCCTATAATTAACGATACCGCTAAATGAAATGCTTAGAAGACATTCACAACCACTTGGTTTCACTTAAGAATAAGCAATAGACAAGCCATTGTTAGCATAATTTTAAGATGTATCTTTCAGTCAGACTGCCTCCTGTTTACCGCTGGACATTCAGTATGTCTGTCATAGTTCAGTGTAAGTACCGTCTGCACAATGATCTTCGCCATCCAAACCAGCATTCAGCGCTAGATTTCAGTCAGGGTGTTTTCATCTGGATCTCACTCATTTCTAAAGAAAGAAACTAGGAGTGTAATTGAGAAAACCACTTGCTCCTCTCTTTTCACCTAATTAGCCCAATTATGGACGGATGGCATCATGCGATGGGGATTTTACTGAGCAAATGAAAGTTTTTTTTGGCTGCAGCGTGTTGCTTCGCTTTATACATTACTGGAAACTGGAGCATGTGTAACTTAACCTAACAGATGTTTATGAAGGAGGTCTCTACACAACTTTTCTAACCGGTAGGCGTTAATTATAAAAAACCTAAAACAGTTGCAAATGAAAACGAATGAAACTGTTTTTACAAGCTCACAGACCTTAGTCCAGCAAATTTGAAAATACATTTCAGACAAGAATACCAGATGATGTCAACATCCATCCTTAGAATACATGCTAATAGAAAAAAGCACAAGAGTCACTCGTTGAAATCCTTGAATATTATATGGTGCAATGAAACAATATAAAATTAATATAATATAATATAATATAATATAATATAATATAATATAATATA